TCCACCGTGACTAGTGAGCCCTTCCCAGGTGAGCCCGCCAGACTGCTTTTCCTGGCGCTCCTGTGGCCAGCTTGCCCTACCCAGGCATGGCTGCTGGCGGTGTCTTTGGCCTGTGGGCTCTGGTCCTCCGGGCTGGCTTCTGCACGACAGAAGCGTCAGCAAGCCTCGGTGTCGTCTAGGCTGCCGCGGTCCCATTGTGCGTAGGCAGCGTTCCCTGTGTGCACGTCTGCCTTCTCTCTCCGGGGAGGCATCTGCTCAGAGGACGGGGGTGGGGGGCCAGCCAGGTCTCCTTGGTCACCTCTGCTGTGGCGCCGGCATCACAGCCCCATCCGCAGCTGCTAGAAGGAAAGGTAGAGCTCATGCCCCCTTTTCTAAGGCCGAGAGCGGTCGTTTTCTTCTGCAAGGATCTGGCTGAATGTTGGAAGGTGTGTTGACCGTTTCTCTGTGATGGTCTGGAACGCCCCCTCCCCAGAGGGGAGAAGCTTTCGTACTCAGGCCAGCGAGGAACATGTCTGTCATGCTTTTAAAACTTTTCCCCCTTTTTTTGTTGTTAAATAAAACAGCAGATTTATTGCAGCCTATCACAGTGGTGTGAACTGCTTTGTCCCTCCCGAGTTGGTGACCGCCACTCAGGCTTACTCAGCTTCCCTGGTCCCTTCCCCTGTTCCTTCACTGAGTTCTCCTCCAAAGTCCTCGGAGGTGGGTCCTGTTCCCGTTCTATTTTACAGCTGAGGAAACCAAGGCTCAGCGAGGTTGGGACTTGCTCAAAGCCGGGCTGCGAGTGAGCGGCACGGCCCGTGACAGCAGCCTGGAATGCTTGTCCAGGTCGTGTTTGTAATGGTCGTGTGATAGGACAGGGTGCGGCTGTCGTCGCGCCTTCCCATTATCAGGGACTCCCAAACTTCACGGCAGCCAGCATCCTTGTCACCAGCCTTGGGCTAGAGTGAGATGCTCTGTGCTTGTCTAGACTTTACTGCCCCAAGCTCCCCGGGCTTTCCAGGGCTTGTCCCTGAGTGGCTCCTGAAGGTGTGGGCCTCGGCAGCAGGCCCCAAGGAGTCCGTCCTGAGTGCCGGCCACTCTCCGCTTTCCCTGCCAGGCGACACTCATCAATGAGTACTCCTCGGTGGTCCAGCCGGTGCAGCTTGCCTTCCAGCAGCAGATCCAGACCCTGAAGACGCAGCACGAGGAGTTCGTCAACAGCCTGGCCCAGCAGCAGCAGCAGCAAATTCAGATGCCACAAATGGAGGCCGAGGTCAAGGCCACCCCGCCGCCACCTGCCCCGCCGCCGGCCCCCACGCCTGCCCCTGCCATCCCGCCAACCACCCAGCCTGGTACGGGGCTTCCTGGGGGGCCGCTCCAAGAAAGCAGCCTTCTTTCCCAAACAAGGGCTCTGGTTCTGTGGTCCCGGTTCTAGGGCCGGATTCTAACCTGTTCCCAAACACCAGGCCCGAGGATTTCATAGACAAATGCCACCAAACCTTACAGCTCAGGGGATTCCTTTCCTATACAAACCATCCCAGAGAACACAGAGAAAAAGCTGCCCAAATCAGCTTTCGAGACCAGGCTAACTTTTATATCAGATGGACGAAGAGAAGGAAGTATGAATATCAGGCAGCATTCCTTTTGAACAAAGATGCAGAAGTACTTCACACCTGAAATCTAGCAAAGCATTAAAAAAGATACCCCATGATGAGATAGGATTTGCCCCAGGAATGTGCAAGGATGGTTTAGCACTCAGAAGTCTCATAAAACAACAGAGGAGGTGGGAAAAAATCTTTCAAGTAGATGCAGAAAGGGTTTTTAATAAAATTCAGTAATGAAAATTTTTGAGCAACTAGAATAGGTACAGAGTAAGTTAAGGTTTCAAAGAAACGGGTGTGCCCCGTGTGAGGTCAGCCTCCCCGCCGCTCGCCACCGTCCTGGAGGCCATCAGTTTCGGGTGGGCTCACGCAGCAAGGATTTTCCGAGACGTAAAGGCCCAGCCTGGGTTGGTCCTGGATGGTTGTTGAACATGGTTTCAGGCGGTGCTTGCTGACAGTTGCCTCTGTTAACCACCCTCTTGCCTGGCTCTAGATGACAGCAAGCCTCCTATCCAGATGCCCGGCTCCTCTGAGTATGACGGCTCGGGAGGAGTCCAGGATCCTGCCTCTGCCGGCCCCCGGGGCCCTGGGCCCCACGATCAGATCCCACCCAACAAGCCCCCGTGGTTTGACCAGCCTCATCCCGTCGCTCCTTGGGGCCAACAGCAGGTATCTTCCCAGACTTGGGGCAGGTGGACCCTCTCCTGCGTGGGTCAGCGGGCTGGTAGTGGCTCGCTGGGGAAACGGAGATTTCTGCAGCGGGGCCCAGGCTGGGCGGGTGGGGGCGGGCCAGGACCCTCAGGGCTTCACACCCGACCGGTGCTGACCACCCGGGCCTCTTAGGAACATTGGTCCCTGTGTCCCTGTGAGGGCTGGGCAATTTCAAAAGGTCAAACACAGCAAGGTGAGCGGTTTCTGTCCCATTTCTAACTGGTCCAGCCAGCACAGGGCCAACACTTTGTCTCCCTGGAAAGAACACTGTGCTTGCGTGAGGAAAGGGAAGGTCGGACATGTAGGGCCGGCGGTGCTTTCTGGGGCAGAGATGCTGGTCACTCCCTCTGGTTCTTTGGGGTCAGAAACTTCTAGGCCAGGGCAGGGGTCATCTCATCCAGCTTAGCATGACTGGGAAACACTGGAAGCATCCACTTGCTCTCTGGCCACTGGATCTGATCCAGTGGAGCCTTTGGGCACAGCCCGGGCCTTTCCTGGATGTCCACCTTCCCCTTGACGGGGCCTAGTGGTTGCGGCCCTGCCAGGTGACTGGGGAGGACGGGGAGGGAGACTGCTCTGGACTGACAAGTGGGGCTTGCGGCTTTGAGTTGCCCATTGTACCCCTCCCCGCCCCAAACCCGAGCTTCAGGAGAAGAGATGATTTAATTTCACAAAAGATTGGGCATCCCCATAAAGACAGCTTCCACCTACGAATGCCAGTTGTGAGCCGTGTGGTATCAGGCATTTTATGGGCGCCCTCTGATGAGGGAACAGTTCTCATACCCCTTGTGTAAGTGTCTCCAGGGTCAGCCTTCTTCCTGGGGACTTGTGGGATGGGCTCATGATGACGAGGGTTCCCTCTCTGAGGGTACCTGCCCTGGGGCAGAGGTACTCTTGGCTTGGCCTGCCCACGTGGGATCTTACACATTATGAAGTAACATTTTGAAAATACTGATTTATTGATTTGATTAGATTTTTGGTGGGCTCCACACCTAGCATGGAGCCCAGTGCAGGGCTTGAACTCAGCAGCCCCAAGATCATGATCTGAGCTGAGGTTAAGAGTTGGATGCCTAACCGTCTCAGCCACCCAGGCACTCTGAAATAATTCCCATCTTTAGAATCTGGTTTTCTAACTTCTTGAAAGACCTGAGGATGTGGTGTGGCCCAGGCCCGCCTCTGTGTTGGCAGTCCGCAGGGCCAACCAGCTGTGACCCTGAAGATGGGCCCCCTGGTCATCCACTCCTAGGCATATCCCACCCTGGCCCACAGCAGCAGCTGAGATCCAGAGCTTACGTTGTCTCTCACCTACAGAAAGACATTTCCTGAGACGGGATTTGAGAGCAAGTAGTCAATATGGGAGGTGACCCAGAAGACCACGCAGGGCAGGGGGGAACGTGACAGGGAAGGGGGCTCTTGTCCAGGCAGCTGTCTGCCATGGGTCCTTGGGGCCCAGCTCCTCCCTGCACTTTGCAAGCCGTGGGGGATGCACCTCTGCACCGGCCACCCAGGGGCGCGGGAACCGGAGCACGTCCGGCAGCTTCTGGATCAAGCAGCTGAGCTGGGGGTGTTGGGATCCCTGGCGCTGGGGGCCTGCCCAGCTCTGATGCGGGCACGGGAAACCCTCAGCTGAGGTGCAGGTGCGGCCTTGGGGAGTCTGAGCCCAGGCGCCCCAGCCCCCGCTGCACAGCAGAGCGAAGGAGACCGCACCGGGGCCAGGGCCGGGTCACCTCCATGGTTGGAGAGCCACGCTGCGGACGTGTGGCTGGCGGCCGGCGGCCGGCCAGGCCTTGGGAGGGGTTCACGTCCACCCCTTGCCTTGCAGCCTCCCGAGCAGCCGCCTTACCCGCACCATCAGGGCGGGCCGCCCCACTGTCCACCCTGGAACAACAGCCACGAGGGCATGTGGGGTGAGCAGCGCGGAGACCCCGGCTGGAATGGCCAGCGTGACGCGCCCTGGAACAGCCAGCCCGACCCCAACTGGAACAGCCAGTTCGAGGGCCCCTGGAACAGCCAGCACGAGCAGCCGCCGTGGGGCGGGGGCCAGCGTGAGCCGCCCTTCCGCATGCAGCGGCCGCCGCACTTCCGGGGCCCCTTCCCGCCGCACCAGCAGCACCCGCAGTTCAACCAGCCGCCGCACCCCCACAACTTCAACCGCTTCCCGCCCCGCTTCATGCAGGACGACTTCCCCCCGCGGCACCCCTTTGAGCGGCCGCCCTACCCTCACCGCTTCGACTACCCCCAGGGGGACTTCCCTGCTGGTGAGTGCCAGGGTGCCCTCCGCGGGGACCGGCCCCTGTCCTGCCCCTTGTTCCCCGGATGGTGCTGCTTCACGTCATCGCTGCGGGACCTGGGAGGGCCCCTGAGTCAGGGTGACAAGCCGGGGGCGGGGTGGGGCGGGGGGTTCCTGGGATGGTGTAGAAGCCCCGTCTGGGCCCTGGGGAAAGTGGGGAGACAGACGGGCGGCCCGGGTGCAGCCACGTGGCACACGCTGGGTGGCTGTAGAGGTGAGGTCCCATTCCCGCTGCCCGCGCACCCGGGGAGGGGGAAGGATGTGGGCCTTCCGGAAGGAGAGTCGCTCGCAAGCCCCGCAGCGGATGGGCGGGCAGGGCAGGGGGTCCAGGACCCACGGCGCCTGCGAGGCCCTTCCCTGTTCCTTGTCTCGCTCTTTTTACCAGCTTTTTTCATTGCTTTTCTTTGAAGGATCTCTAGACTTCTTGATTTTTCTTTTTTTAAAAAAAATTTGTTTCTCCTCTCTTGCTGCTTCTATTTTTACTTTAAACTCCGTTCTCGGCTACAAATTCAGCCAAGACCACCGAGCGCGTGTATGGCCAGTACACGCTTCCCGGGGCTGTGGTAACAAAGCGCGCCCAGCGGGCAGCTTCCCCCCAGCCCTGGGGGCTGAGAATCTGAGACCATGGGGTCTTCTCCCCATCTTCACATCCTCCTCCCTCTGGGCGCATCGGTTTCCCATGCCACTTAGCAGGATGCCACTCACGTCGGATTGGGGCCCACCTGCGGGATCTCACCTCAAACGAATCACCTTTTTAAAATGCCCTGTCTCCAAATACAGCGATACTGATTCGCCCGTAATGTTGCTACTTTTAAGATTTTGTGATTTCCCTTGTTCTTCCTTCCACCTTGGGTCGTGGTGTGGGTGCAGGACAGGTCTGCCGAGGCCCGGCCCCTCCCCACCTGGCTACGTCACCCCGGGCAGCGAGCAGCAATGGGAGAGGAGTGCTGGGCAGCAGTGCCCAGAGGCAGGTGTGGGCCCCCTCATCGAAGCCCCCTGCCCGGGCACCCGTCCCCTTGCACATCTTGACTGTGCCATCGGCACCACCCAGCGCACGACTGCTCGGTAGGCCTGAGAGGAGTTTCTCTTTTGCAGAGATGGGACCCCCTCACCACCACCCTGGCCACCGCATGCCTCATCCTGGGATCAACGAGCACCCACCCTGGGGTGGGCCCCAGCATCCCGACTTCGGCCCTCCTCCCCATGGCTTCAATGGGCAGCCCCCCCACATGCGGCGACAGGGCCCTCCCCACATCAACCACGACGACCCTAGCCTGGTGCCCAACGTGCCCTACTTCGATCTGCCCGCGGGGCTGATGGCCCCCCTCGTGAAGGTAACGTCACCACGGCGGGCACCCAGCTCCGTAGCACACACTTGTGCTGGTTCCTCGGCCTCCCCGTGAGAAGTTCGTGTGTGGCGCCCATTTCCTGGCAGGGGACAAACGCTGCTTCCCAGGTCCCCTTCCCACTTGTTGCTATGCCCAGCAAATGTGACTAGTCAGCGGGAATGCATCCGAGCCAATGCCTCTTCCTCGACTTGAATTCCTGAGGCAAAATGAGCAAGGCCTGTGTCCCCTCTGCTCGCTCTGCACGTCCCTCCTGGTGGGCGGCACACCTTGTGGCCGTGAGTGGGCCGGGCCGGGTGCGAGGTGCAAGTCCCTCTTGATCCTGGCCCTGGGAAGCTACCTTGTCCGGGGGCCGACAGTGGAGGGCTTTCTCAGAGAAGGGGGCGGCCTCTGAGCTGGGCCTGCGGGCGACACGGGAGGGGCAGCGCCGGGGGGCGGCGAGGGCGGCGAGGGCAGCGAGGCCACCCGGGAGTAGCTCCAGAGACCTGAGGGAGGAGCCGCCATCAGACCAGAGGTTGAGAAGGGCCACGCTGGGGCAGCAGGGGGGCACGAGCTGAGCTGGCTTCTGGCGAGGGGGTTCCCTGGGTGGGGGCCCCGGTGTAGGACTCGGGAGCACAGGGCAGAGTGTGCAGGTGGCGGCATCTGGGATCCGTATCGTGTCTGAGGAAATTGAGGGGTCTTTCGTCACCTCAGCTTGGAGGTTGTGTCTCACGTGTTTTCTGGAGAGGACTCTATTGGCCCCAAAGAAGTCCTCTGCCGCGTCACTTAGGGAGTCAGATCATTGGTGTGGCGGCAGCCTTCGTGGGGTAACCCTGTGTGCCCCCAACCCTGCTCCGCCGGTCGCTGCAGCACCCTGGGTGGGCCTGAGGGCAGCTCTGGCAGGGCGGGCCTGACAGCTGTGCTCCCCACTGCAGCTGGAAGACCATGAGTACAAGCCTTTGGACCCAAAAGACATCCGCCTCCCGCCACCCATGCCGCCCAGTGAGAGGCTGCTGGCGGCCGTGGAGGCCTTTTACAGCCCCCCGTCCCACGACAGGCCCAGGAACAGGTATGGTGCTCGGGGGGGGGGGCGGGGCTCTGTCCCCTCTCCTGGCCTGACGTCCCCCCGAGTTTGCTTCATGCCCAGGGTTTGCCTTCTGCCCGGGGTGGTGTGAGGCCCAGGTGAGGAAGGGGGTGGCCTGTAAAGCTAGGCCGACTTCGGGCCCGTCTCTCCCCTGGCTGTGGGTAACGTGTGTCACACGTACGGCGGCTCTCGGTGGAGGGCCTCTCTAGTGGGGACACGTTGGGGCAAGTTGCTGTCTCCGGTGTGGCGTGTTTCAGAAGCTGGCAGCTGCGTGCCCCAGGCTTTGTCACGAGCCCCCTCAGGACACCCTCCAGCAGACTCGTCACCAGTCCAGCTAGAACCATCTCCTAACCTGTGCTGGCTCGTAGGCCTGTCCATCCAGGAGTCAAGAGCTCCTTGTCCCCAGTTAGTTAGATCCCAGGTCGTGAGAGCCACCTGAGCTATTTCGGGAAACATCGATGTGGAAAAGGCATGGGAGCCAGGCATGCGCCCTGCCGCTCTGCTTCCCCGCGTGGTGCCAGACCCTGCTGGGTGTCCGAGCGAGCGAGGGGGGGGGGGGGAGGGAGGGAAGCGGGGCCCGCATGCCTGGACGCATGCTCACTGGGGTTTACTCCTGCTGACTTGCACAAGTTCCCACGGGAGGGAGGCGGGCAGGGTCACACAGGAGACGCCCGTGTCTTACAGCGAAGGCTGGGAGCAGAATGGCCTCTATGAGTTCTTTCGAGCAAAAATGCGGGCGCGGCGGAGGAAGGGCCAGGAAAAGCGCAACAGGTGAGCACGTGGGCACCCGCGCACGTGGTGGGCCCCCGTCCCCAGCCAGAGCGGGCCCCTGCCTGAGCCGCCGTCAGACACCGTGAGGGACCCGCCATCCAGCCGCGCCCGGGCTGCCCGGTCTCTGCTTGGGGCCGCAGTGGGTTTTCCCGCAGGGCCCCCGTCGGCGCCTGAGACGCCGGCCCAAGAGAGCTTTGCCGTCGTGCGTGATCAGCCGCGCGCTGGGAGCCCGGTCCTCTGAGGGGAACGGGCAGGTCTGCACCCAGCCCTGCCCGCCTGGGGCCTTCCGGAAAGTTCGGGGCGCGCCACTCACCAGGCCTCTGTCTGCAGCGGCCCCTCGCGGTCCCGGAGCCGGTCCAAAAGCCGAGGGCGCTCTTCCTCCCGCTCCAACTCGAGGTCGTCCAAGTCGTCGGGCTCGTACTCCCGGTCCAGGTCACGCTCGTGCTCGCGCTCCTACTCCCGCTCCCGCTCCAGGTAGGCGGGCGGGGGGGCCGCGCGTGCCCGCCGAGGCCCCGCTGGGGCGCCCGCGGCCGCCACCCACCGCCAGTTCTGTCCTCCCCGCAGGAGCCGCAGCCGCTCGCGCTCATCCCGCAGCCGCTCCCGCTCGCGCTCGCGCTCCCGCTCCAAGTCCTACTCCCCGGGAAGGAGACGTCGGTCGCGGTCCAGGAGCCCCACCCCGCCGTAAGATTTCTGTCCTAACTGTCCAGTGACCGCTGGTAGCGCCGGAGCCCTCTGACGCTTTGCTGTTAATGTTGATTGAAACCTGTCGCTAGAAGATGCGCTCCCCGGGGGCCCGTGCTGAGGCGGCCCCTCAGGGACCCCGAGTTCTAGCACTGTGACGGTGGCACCTCATGTCACACCCCGCTCTTACCTGTTTACGGTAACGTCGTAAAACCTGAGGTAGCGGCCGGGCTGTGTCTGAGCCGTTCGGGGGTTCCGTGTGACCGGCCCTTGCTGCTCAGTGTGGGGCAGGGCCCAGGGGAGGGAGCTCCCCTACCTGGCACTCGAAGATGACCAAGAAGAAGGCTAGAGACCCAGGAATGTGTGCGTGTCTCTCTAACACTGGTGAATGTTCACATCCGCCACACGCTGTAATTTCTAAGCATTTTCATGCCAATAAATGTATCGACTCTTTTTTTAAAAAACGTAACCTGTCTTAATTTTAGTTCCTCGGCTGGTCTGGGTTCTAATTCAGCACCTCCTATACCTGATTCAAGGCTCGGGGAAGAGAACAAAGGACATCAGATGCTGGTGAAAATGGGTAAGGTTCCTGGGGAAGAACCACCACCCGCTTTGGGCTTTTGGGGCTGGGGAGCCAGAGAAGGTTCTGACTCGCCGCCAGAACTAGCAAGGGCGAACCCGCCGAGTTCTCACTGGGCGTTCTTTCTCACCACAGCCGCCTCACGTGTGTGAAACCACACGGGCGCGTGTCATTCAGCTCTGCACGTGAAATCTTGTTGAAGTTCATGGACAAATGGGCCAGGTTTCGACTCCCGTGGGTTGTAATCGCCTTTTCCCCCCTTTCTTCTTAAGGCTGGAGTGGATCTGGTGGCCTCGGCGTGAAAGAGCAAGGGATCCAGGACCCCATCAAGGGGGGGGACGTCCGGGACAAGTGGGACCAGTACAAGGGTGTGGGCGTGGCCCTGGACGACCCCTACGAGAACTACCGCCGGAACAAGAGCTACTCCTTCATCGCCCGCATGAAGGCCAGGGACGAGTGCAAGTAGGCGCTCCGCGGGCAGGAGCCGTTGGGACCTTCCTGGCTTACTGGCAGTGACAGATGGTAGGGACAGCTCGGTGGTCACATAGTCTCCATCCTTGGGGAGCGACAGAAGAGAAGGAAGACGACAGCATGCCTAGGGAGAGGGCCGTGCTCCATAGCGTGGGAGGCCCCAGGCCCCGCCTGCAAACCAGCTCTCCCGTAGAAGCCAGAACCCGCCCGGAGATGCCCCGGCTGCCCGGCCACAAGCCTCCTTCCCTTGACGGAGAAGTGAGAAACCTGAGACCCTCCACCCCTGGATACGAATTCCCGACACCGGAAGGCACGGCTGTTTGCACCTCCCCGCAGTCCGCTTGGAGCTTCCGCTTAGGCCGGGAGGAGCGTGTGGAGGACGGGCCCCGGGCCAGGCGCCGGTTACAAACAGAAAATCAGACCCTTCCTGATTGGCAGAGTTACACAGGGCTTTCATTTTTACTCCAGATGTTTAGTTTTAGAGAAGGGAATGTTGCTCTCAGAGGATCCCAGTGAGAATTTGAAACCGGATTCCTCTAAGACGTGCTCACAGCCCGTAGTTCAGTTACTTTAGTTGTTTGAGTTGACATTTTTTCCCCAAACGTTAGCCACTCACGGTCCCTGCAGAAACAGAAGGTTCTAAGGAAGCTGATCTGAGGCATCTTCAGGTCACGGAGTGACGCCCTCGAAGAGCCTGCACCCTTAAGCGTCTCTGCTTGTGTTTCTCACTTAGAGGAACCCACCACCAGCGCTCACGTGGACGGCCTGCTCTGCTCTGGGGTGTGGAGAGCGAGCCCCGCCACACCCCCGGCCCGCCCCACCCCACCAGCGAGGGGGCCCCGGCCGGGCGGGGGGGGGGGCAGACGCCGCCCTGGGGACGGCGCGGGGACGGCCACACCTGGCGTCTGTGGGCAGCTCGGGCGGTGCCGTCTCTTTGTACAGAAACATTTTTGAAAAATTCTTTTCAATAAAATGCAGAGTCCTCTCCAACTTTTCAACCTGATGTGATAAAATAATTTGATTTTGTTCTAGATTTCCTGTAGCTGTGAATTGTTCAAACGTGTCTGATTCAGGATAAAACATAAACACATGCTGTTAACGATTTCTTGTGGATTTTACTGTTTTGCCTTCAAATAAAAACTTTTTTTAAAGACCTTTTTCTCTGTGTGTTCAAGTTAGACGCGCACTCGGGCCGAGTCAGGAGGTGGCCGTGCCTGGCGTGCGAGTCTGGCTGAGTCGTGCAGTCCGGTCCGAAGCCGTGTCCTGGCGTCTCCCGTCGGTGTCCCCGGCGTGGGCATCTGGTGCTGGCTCCTGTGGAGCAGACGGGGCTTTCTCAGCCCTCCTCCCGTCTACCTCCGCTCACAAGGAAGGCAGCCCCTGGCCAGTCCGGCCGCCCCGCGGGGCTCCAGGCAGGCGGGCACCCTCCGTCCCGCTGGGAGCGGTGACCGAGCCACCCGTGGGGTCCGGCTCGCCCGGCCTGTGTGTGCTCTCGGGTCAGGTGCCGGGCAGCCCGGGGGGGCGGGGGCCGGGAGCAGTCAGCCCCTCAGCTGGGAAAGGCTGGAGCAGGGACTCCACTCAGGTGAGTCCTGGGTGCCACCTCCCACCACCATCCCCTGGAAAACGTGTGAGCGTCACAGCCGGCAGCTGGCCCAGCGTGTTCTGGCTCAAGCCCACAGACCCCGCCTCACCTCCTGGAACTCACAGCTCCTTCTTCACCTCCTCCAGGGCGTCCTCCATGGACAGCGGCACGGGCCTGTGGTGCCTGATGTACTGCGGGGCAGAGGACGGAGATGTCACCACCGCTGCCTCAGTCTCCCGAGTCTACTGAGGCCTGGGGTGTTGGAGGCGGTGCCTGTCCCCAGTGGCTCCCAGACAGGCGGACGGAAAAAGAGGCGGGATGCCACGTGACAGTGCTGTAGAAACGAGAGATGAACCCAGAGGGCTCCCGGCAGAGCACCCTGCAGGGGGTGAGCCCTGACTGGCTCTGAAAGGGAAGAACGGCCGTGGCTGGGGGTGGGGCCGGCGAGGGGCGCTGCCCGGGGCGCCCTCAGAGCCCACGGGGCCCGGGCGCCACTCCCAGGACGCGGGCCCAGCGCAGGCGTGAGGAGCCACGGGGGGCTGCAGGCCGGTGGCGCGGGCAGACCGCTTCAGCCGCACCCCATCCACCCACGTACAGGGCCGAACGAAGTGAAAGGGCTCTGCGGGGGCGCAATCAGCGGTCCAGAATGGGGGCAACCGGTGAAGAAACAACCTGTTTCCTTGAACAAATAAACTACAAGGAGACATCAGAGAGATGGGGCAGTGGGCGGGGGGGGGGGCGGGGGGCGGCGCAGGGGAAACCTGAGGAGCACGGTTCTCAAAGTGGGCACCCCTGTGGTACGTGCGAGAACCGCTGCTCTGACCAGGAGGCCAAAAAGACCCCGGACAGTCTTGATGTATGGACTTTGTCTGGGTTCTGATGAAAAAACAACAAAATGTACGACTTTCATGAGCCGAGTGGAAATCTAACACTGGATATCCAACGATATTAGGAAAAGCTCGTTTGGCTTCGGGATTATCGTGGTATCGTGAGCATGCTGTTCAAAAGTCCTTTGTTTTGAGAACTGCGGACTGACGTATTTGTAGACGAAAGGACAGAAATCCCCATGCAGAATAGCTCATACACTACAATGCCATCTCTATAAAGAAATTCACATTGGATAGAATGTTATACCTCTTACATTGTAACATGTATCTGCTAATACACAGTAACACAATATTATACATTCTGTACATAATATAGTTCATGTTTCACACAGGGAAAATCCAAAGAACACTGAGTTGGTAATGATCATCTCTGAAGTTATGGAGGGCTTTAAAAACTACCTCTCTAACAAAATTTTTATAAAATGAGCACACATTTTTTTATAATCAGACAAAAATTAAATTTGGGAAGACAGCGAGGGGAGTGTGATATTCTTGGCACTTCAGCTCCCAGGACTAAGAGAGGCCCTGCGGGGACAGAGCTTGGGAAGGGTCTGTGGAGGGACAGGACCCCCTCTCCCCACCGCCTCTGCCCCGAGGTCAGAAGCAGGCTCCCTCTGCGGGGACCACAGCGTCCCCGCTGCCCGGCCTGAGTCCCGTCCCCCTCCACGAGCGAGGCCCCTGCCCTCTCTCCCGGGAGGGGCGGTGTGCTGCGGTCACCTGTTGGGTTTCCTCCAGGGTGTGGTAGTGGAACGAGTCTCGGTCCAGGGACTGCAGCAGGGACCCGTGCAGGTGCCGGCTGGCCTCCACAAACTGCTGCGTCAGGCTCAGCTGCTGCTTCAGCATGTCGTTGAGCGCCAACACGGCCGGGCTGTAAGCTGTCAGGGCTGCACCAGCTCCGTGTCACTCGGCCGGCCCGCCCACCGGCCCACCTCCCCACGGGTGCCCCCCTGAGCAGGGGGGAGAAGGTCCGCTGCTTGGGGCCCCTGTGCTCGGCAGCGCCCACGTGCAGCCACGTGGGGATGCTTTCTGGAAGGTCCTGCCCCCAGAAGTACCAAAGGCCCCACTGGTCCCTCCCAGCCGCCTCTACCCTGGAGTGAGCGAGCTGCTTTCTGAGGGCTGGTATGGGACTCTCGAGAGCTGCTCGTGCGGGATGCTCAGCGCCCAGGCAGAAACCTGAGTCTTAACGTCTGACCGCAGGACGAAGTCTAGTCAATCGGCATCCCCAGCGGTACACCTGCCCCACGGGAACCTTCTTCACGCCACTGAACTGGACACTAAGAAATAGCTAAGGGGGTAAATCCTATGTGGGTTTTTTTAAAAAGACTTTATTTATTTATTTGATAGAGACAGAGAAAGCATGAGCAGAGAGAGGGAGAAGCAGGCTCCCCGCTGAGCAGGGAGCCTGACACGGGACCTGATCCCAGGACCCTGGGATTATGACCTGAGCCGAAGGCAGACGCTCAACCGCCTAAACCACCCAGGTGCCCCATGTTACGTGTTTTTAAACACAAAACTAAAATAATTAAAAATAAAACTAAAAATAAAAAAGTTTTCATTAAATTCAAAATACATTGAAGAATGGAAGTTGTGCAAGTGTTCGAAAGGATCACTGGAAGGCTGCGTAACAACACAGAACAAGCTCGGGGGTGACAGCTGAACGGGAGAGCTTTTTGAAAGGATATAAACAATTCTGTGGTTACAACCAGTGTGTTTTAGTATCTTCATCTTTAAAAAAATTGAAAAGGGCAAAACCATAAGAGGTCCTAGATGGACCCTTGTTTGTGTCCCTCAAGTGGTCAGTGGCCCTGTGAGGACCTGACGGAGCCTGGGCCTCCCCCACCGCAGGCCGGGCCGGGCCGCCCGGGACCCTGGCACTCCCCGGACTCGGCAAGGCACCAAGGCCCGTGGCTGCCGGGCTGGCTGCCTCTCGGTACCGGCTGAGTGTCTTTGGGGGGAAAAACTACTATGGATTCTGGACACACAGGCATGGCGGGGGGGGGGGGGGGGGGCCGGGGAGGGACACACAGGAATAGCTTGGCTGGGGTGGAGGGCTCAGAGGTGTGTTACTCATAACTTCCCTGTTTGATCTGACACGGGTGTCCTTTGGCAAAACAGACCGAAGGTTCTCGGACACTCAGTCTGTCGTCCAGGATCCTAGGAACCGTGGCAGTTGCCTGTGGCTGCGACAATCTCACCAACAGATCCCCCCGCACCCGGCACTAATGCGGGGCACCGCCCCCCTCCCCGGGTGGCCGTGAATCTGCGCCTTCACCGCCAGGACCCACTGAGCGGGGCTGTTACCTTCTATCGAGTCCGCGCTGACGACGTGACTGGCAATGGGCACGGGGTCCACGTAGGCACCTCCCAGGGTGGGCCCAATGGCCGCAATGCCGGCCCCTGTCCCAGCGACAAAGGGGGAGGGGATGAGTGGGCGGGACGCCTTTCATCAGTGGACGGGACATGAAACAGGCTACACGAATCTCATCTTTTCTCTTCTGAAGGACAGCCACCCTTCTGGCTTTGTTAACCTCTTCTCCTTTCAAAATTTCCCCAAGCCTGCCTCCATCTTTCTGCTGGCTTCTCCTGGTACAAGTCAGTTGAGCTGGCCCAAGCAGTCACCGCGGTCACACCGGCTAGTCACGGCGGCATCGGACCCTCCCCACCTCGGCCTTCCATCTACGGGCCACGAGCAGGCTTCGGGGTGTGCCCTGGACTCTAAGAAGCCGGTTTATTTAGGCTGTGTTTTCCTCTCCTTTCAGTGTCAGGCCTAGTCGAGGAAAACGGCATCAGCTATGTTTTGCAAAAGCTCCCTCGAAATTTCAAAAAGGTACAGAAATGCACACATTTGTCCGCGCCGGACAACCGGCTACGTCGTCAGGCAGCACGAGGCTGTGGAGAGGAACGCAGAGGTTTCCGAGTCACAGAACCGGGCTCCCAGTGCCTCGAACGCCTTCTAGCAATCTGAGTTGGCACATCTGCCTGACTTTCCTCCCCGAGAAGCAAGAGCATGGTCACACCCCACCCCGGTGCGCAGCCCAGGCTGATTTACGGCTAAGCGCCCCCCCGCCCCAAATCAAAATGCACACCCCGCAGGTGAGAGGTACAGCCCCTTGTGCAGCCCAGGAACAAGCTCTGGTGACACTGTGGGTGTCCACCTAGATGAGAAAAAGAGAGCGGGGGAAGGTTTAAAAGAAAGGGACCTTTCCGTTCAGATGGGCCAAGACTGAAGCGGGGGCCAAGAGAAACGTCTGGAAGGCCACACCGGGCGTGAAGAGAAATGTCGGCCTGGGGCTGCTGCCCCTCACCCTCGGAAGAGGAAACATGCCCCGCGGCCCCCTGAGCTGCCTAACGATGATGACCCGAACCTCCAGACCCTGAAGCTCTTGGTCGTGCTTCCGAGGAAACCCGCAGCACGGACCGCGAGAGCCCGCGCCTCCCTCGTGGGGCTCACCCGCTTACCCTCTGCCCACTGGTAGGTGAAGGCGGGCTCGAGGGTCTGCACAGCCGTCTCCTTCATGAGGACTCTTGTAACGTCCCTGACCCGCTTCTTCCAAGGCTTGGGTGTTGGCAGGGGACGGTCTGGCTGCAGGCTTGCAGAGAATTCTGACAAAGTGTCCGGCGTCCTGTCGGGAGACTCCTCAGAATGGGCCCTTGACTCGGATGCTGTTTCAAAATCTTCCGAGTAAGCCGAGCTCGCCGTGGGCTCTTGAGACTTCGGCCTCGGGCCGGAAGCACCCTCGGGCCCAGCGGAGGAGACCGACGGCTCACTCAGGCACTCTGAGACCTCGCTTCCAGTGGGGGGACCCCCGGCCTGGGGGCTCTGGCTGGATGCCTTTTCCCGCTGGCCTTCTTTCTAAAATGAAGAATGACAGAGGTAACTGGCAAGTGGTTTTGTCCGATCAGCATGCTCAAAATACCGCTGCGTTGGAACAGGTCCCCGGGGGGAGCCCAGCAGGTGAGGGTCCGCACTGGGCCTTCGGCGGCTTGGGGCGGGCCCCAGACTGTGAGCGGAACTCGTGAGACGCTTCAGCCCTCACGGGGCTGCCCCATTTGAACACCGAAGGCGTGAGCCTGTGTCGGTGGCACGTGGATGAACTCTGCTGAAGTGGCATCATTCTGTATTATGACAACGTGCTTTCGGGACTGAGGAGGTTACTAATGTGGCGAGAATCACAACGGGACACTGGGCTGAGCGCAGGTCAGCGCGGTGTTGTTACGGGGCGGTTTAAAGTGGGACCCGCCTCAATCATCTGCTACATTAAGTAGCTTTCTCCTGTTATCACCCAAATCAGGATCTCTCACCCAGGGCACTCTTGACATTTGAAACTCAAACATTCTTCGCAGTGGGGCCATCCTGTGCTGTGTGGGACCCTGAGCAGCGTCCCTGGCCGTCACCGCGCCCCC